GGCGAATAAACAACTTTCGCATATTCGATTTTGAGCAACATTCCTCCGTCGAGGAAGAGATGAAAGGAGTAAGAAAAGAGAGAGAGCGATGGTGGATGAAGAAAATAAGAAACCATGCGATTGTCAGTTTTTTTTATGTTTGTGAATTTTTCGAATTATGTTCCATATGGTTTAATCTCGGTATAGTAAATTGTAAAACTAACAAATAATCGAAATAATAATATTTTTAAATTTTGTAAAGAAAAAATATGTTTTAATGTATGTGTTTCGACGTTTGGTCAAAGAGACAAGCATTGCCCAATGCTAATGTTTTTTTTCAAAATCTCGGCAATATCATAGCTTTTAAGTTAACAATGTCATTCGAAAACTTGTTTTAATCTTCATAAATGGCACAAATGAGTTTCAATTCTGCCTTTTTTTTTACAACATATATTATGTTTACTGATAAACAGATTAAACACAATCTCAAGAAAAGTGAGATCCATCGAAACTGCATAAGTGGAACTATGACGGGCTCAACATCGACCATGCTCTCATGTAAAAAGCTCACTTTGATTTCATGGTTTGTACAATATATGAATACTTAAGTGGTAGATTTATTTTTTTAATGAAATGTTGGATTTATTGATGAAAGAAAAGATTAACTATTTATAAGTTTTTTTTAATCGTCTAGATTTATGAATTATTAATAAATAATTAGTTTTGTGATGAATATAAATGCTTAACTTTTAATGTTAAAATAATGTTATTTTGTTATTCTTATCCCGCGCAAGGCAATACATAAAACAAATGACTTCATAAAACAAATTGGAGGTGTATGTATTAACTATATTTTTTAGTGCATTTTAAATATATTGTATTTTTTATCTACTAATTTCTTAAATCTCAAATATATTGCATAGGACGCGGCTAATACACTAGTAATTAGTTAGTTACATGAAATATATTAGAAAAATATTTAGTGTCTTTAATTTAGCCTTGTATTTAAAGAACTTTATATTTTTTTCAAAAGACAATTTTGACATATTGTCCACACACACACTATTAGCATTCTTTAACTAACACAAATAGACGATTTTTTATTTGTAAATCTAAAAATTTTGTAGTGGGAATTAAATAGAGGAAGAGACTTTTTTTATTTACGTTTTTACCCCAAAATTTTTTAGATTTTCCAAATATTACCAAGAAGTTGAAAATTCAGCAAGACGTTTTCTGAATTTCTGTTGTAGAGAAAAAGAAATAACAAAATCACAGGACAAAGCCATTTGAGAGGTCTTTCTGCACAAATCGGATCTCTTCTCGTTCTGAGTCGTGGTTTTAAGCCTTGATACTCTTCAGATCTGCTTGAGATTCTCGATTGTCTTATACGAAGAAGACGATTATATACGTATATATTGCGCTTTAATACTTCTATAAGACACAGCGAGAGATTCGAGATCTAGAGCTAGAGAAGATTTGATGGAGTTTGTTCTTCGTTCTTCTTCAATGCGTAATTCTGGTAATTATATTCTAAGCTTTTCAATTTCTATGATTGAGTTCNTGGGTTGTTATCGCAATGTCGATTTAAACTGCAGATCGCTTTGTTTCTATGTGTGATTGATTTGTGAATCACTTTCTGGGATTTTTCGATTGAGTTCATAAATTACTTATTTTGTGGTTCTTGTGTTGCTATGTTGATGTATATTGTCAAATGCATTTGATTTGGCGCAGAAGAATGAAGAATCTGAAGACTTTGTTGGGTTTCTGCATTTGATGCCAATTTTGACAACGGAGAAGGTTGTGTTGAGTTTTTAAGAACTGTTGGTTCTTCAAGTAGGCTTTGAGGTATATGTAGGCAAGAGAGATGGTTTTTGGTAGGATCACTCAACTTTTTAGTGGTGCCTCGAGTCGAGTAGGAGCGGGTACACAATCATCTGTTCCGTATATTCCTACTGGGTCATCGCCGGATGTAGGAACCTCAGCATCAGATTCAATCAGTTTTGGGAATGCTGGACGAAAGAATAGTTTGAGACACTCGGCATCACTCCAGGATTTCTCTTCGTATCACGGGTTTGATCCTGAAGAAATCATTCTTGCTCGGGAAGCTGACTTGAGTGCTAAACGGCAAAATATATCATGGGGACAAAATGGAGGTAGTCTTTCCAAGGAGAAGGGAGGTGTACCGAATGGGACCAACCCATCTATGCGACGTAAATGGATCCGTGCGGTTATGATTATTCTGTGCCTGCTACTGTTTGCTTTTCTGGTGTATATAGTCTCCATGTATATTTATACAAACTGGTCACGGGGAGCATCAAGATATTATGTTGTGTTTGACTGTGGAAGCACAGGGACTCGTGCATATGTCTATCAGGCCTCCATAAATTACAAGAAAGATAGTAGTCTCCCCATTGTTATGAAATCTTTGACAGAAGGTATATCAAGAAAGAGTAGTGGCCGTGCTTATGATCGGATGGAGACAGAACCTGGGTTTGATAAGCTTGTCAATAACAGATCAGGCTTAAAAACCGCCATAAAACCCCTTATTCAGTGGGCAGAGAAGCAAATCCCCAAGCATGCTCATAGGACCACATCTCTCTTCGTTTATGCAACAGCAGGGGTCCGGAGACTCCGTCCTGCTGATTCAAGCTGGCTTCTAGGTAATGTGTGGTCTATACTGGCGAAGTCACCCTTCACTTGCCGGAGGGAGTGGGTTAAGATCATCAGTGGTACAGAGGAAGCCTATTTTGGATGGACTGCCCTTAATTACCAAACAAGCATGTTGGGAGCTATACCAAAAAAGGCAACATTTGGTGCACTTGACTTAGGTGGCTCATCATTGCAGGTGACCTTTGAGAATGAAGAGCGAACACATAATGAGACCAATCTAAATCTCAGGCTTGGGTCTGTTAACCATCATCTTAGTGCATATTCTCTCGCGGGATACGGTCTTAATGATGCGTTTGAAAGGTCTGTTGTTCATCTTTTAAAGAGACTACCAAATGTCAATAAGTCTGAATTGATCGAAGGAAAACTGGAAATGAAACATCCTTGCTTAAATTCGGGATACGAAGGACAGTACACATGTTCTCAATGTGCTTCCCGTGTCCAACGAGGTAAAAAAGGGAAGTCAGGAGTTCCTATCAAGCTCATTGGTGCTCCAAACTGGGGAGAGTGCAGTGCACTGGCAAAAAATGCTGTTAATAGCTCTGAATGGTCAAACACAAAGCATGGAGTTGATTGTGATTTGCAGCCTTGCGCTCTTCCTGATGGTTACCCTCGTCCTCATGGTCAGTTCTATGCTGTATCCGGATTCTTCGTGGTGTACCGGTTTTTCAATTTAAGTGCTGAAGCTTCCCTTGATGATGTCTTGGAAAAGGGTAGGGAATTTTGTGAAAAGGCTTGGCAAGCAGCGAGAACCAGTGTTTCTCCACAGCCCTTCATTGAACAGTACTGCTTTAGAGCGCCATACATAGTCTCTCTGTTACGAGAAGGTTTGTATATCACAGATAAGCAAATCATAATTGGGTCTGGTAGTATAACGTGGACACTTGGAGTAGCTATTCTGGAAGCAGGGAAGGCTCTATCTTCTACATTGGGACTAAAGAGCTATGAGACTCTGAGCATGAAGATAAACCCAATAGCCCTTATAGCTGTTCTGCTCGTCTCGCTGCTTCTGCTTCTCTGTGCACTATCACGCGTCAGTAGTTGCATGCCAAGATTCTTTAGAAAGTCATATCTCCCTCTTTTTAGACACAATAGCACCTCAGCTTCGTCTGTTCTTAACATCCCCTCTCCCTTCAGATTCCAGCGATGGAGTCCTATGAACACAGGTAACACAATTTGCATCATTGTCTTTGTTCTCAGTTCTCAGCACGGATCTTCACATTGTCTTTTCTTTATCTCTTGAATTTCCAACTTTGGAAGATTTTGATTCCTATAGTATCTTTTTTAACTACAGGTGTAAAGACACCACTGAGTCCAACAGTCCGAGGCTCACCGCGTAGGCCATTTAGTTTTGGAAGCAGCACACAGCTCATGGAATCTTCGTTGTACTCATCGAGCAGCTGCGTTATGCATAGTTATTCTTCTGATAGCTTAGGGGATATGCAAGCTGAGAGCGGTAGTTCCTTTTGGTCCTCCCCTCATAGGAGTCAAATGCGTCTCCAAAGCCGGAGATCACAATCCCGAGAAGATCTTAGTTCCTCGCTCGCCGATTCACACATGCTCAAGATGTAGAAGAAGAAGAAGTTTTTGGTACGGTTTTTATCTCTTCCACACCCTCCGGCTTTTTTCTCTTTTCCGGTATCATAGAATCTAAGAAAAAACAAAACTTTCACGAGAGCCAAAAAATTTCCTTGTTTCAGTTGACATGTAATTCTTTCTATATACCATTTACTTATATGATTACTAATTTAACCCAATTCAACTATCTATCACTCTCTTCCTCTTTACCCTTGTTGCATTTCTCCAAATTCTTTCTTGTACAGACCCGGTCCACGTTCTAGTCATCATCGCAAAGCTTCCGTGGTTTGAGAGCAGCTAGAAAAGAGAAGATTCGATTCGCGGATTGCCGGATAGATTGTTTTATGTTTCAAGCCTAGAACAAACCCTGTAAGTGCTCATTTTCTACTCTTTGATTCTTATAATTATATCTTAACGAAGACAAAAATAGAATCTGCTATATGTTTGGACTTCATTTCATTGCAAGATTCAGGGCTAAAAGTGTCTTTTTCCTTCACCATGAAAATATCCAATTTTCAACAATGTCTTTATGTTATAGCTTGTAGAGCTCAAATCCTCTGGGGACCATTTGTGTGTGGTTGGCATTTAGATATATAGAGGAATCATAGTAACTATCACCTGAACAATGACTCATCTTCATATGGATCATATTTTCAAATAAATGGTTGAAGATTTTTTTTGCATATTGATATCAATCTATTAGTCGAAATCCGTAGATTGATTTCCATTCGACGCATCCTTAACCACTCCTAATGTCAGGTAATAGGTTCGATTCATCATATAACATGATTACAAAATAATCATAATGATCTCTATATCTCAGTAGTTTTGATCAACTCGGTCAAGTTTATAGATTTGATTTTTGATAGTTAGTGGCAATTAATCTAGAGAATGGGTTTTGGCTCTTGAGAGTAAATTACCAAATAAACAATTTGATCTGATTGATTCAATTATGCGCAAACGAGTCTGTCTCGATAGTTTTTATTGCCATAAATGTCAAAGATTGTTTTTTTGTTGAAATGGTTCACTCATCACGTGAAACTTGACCCCAAAACTTGGACATAAACATTATTTAAAGTTTTAAACCAACCTCAGCCATTCGTTGCACTTGTGGCTTAATCCATATAAGTAAATGATTGAAACCTTTGGTCTGGAACGAAAGTATAAATGTATATATCTGTGTTACTCTCTTTCGTTTATTGCTTTGGCCACTTGACTTTGATTCGACGATACCCTACAAAATCAATCACAATCATTCAAATAAAAGGAGTTTATTTCAAGCTTTTCATAATACGAAATCAAAATTTATTTTGTAAGAACATAAATTATATATATTTATATATCAAGCCAATTAAAATTGTGTTAGTTACATTTTTACTCATCGTTATATTTGCTTGAATGATGTTGGGCCATATCCAAATCCAGACCTCATGTCGTGCTCACAATAGTAATGTCTCGTTGGTCCTACCACTCACTATAGAACACAATCTTTTTCACGTTCCTAATTTTGTATCCAATGGATAAACAAATTTTTGCTGTAAATTAGTGTTCTTAATCCGTTTTACGAATAACTGATCTTTATCCGTTAACTTATTTCCACCAGTAGATTATAGACACTAGACACATTGTTTAGTTTGTAGTGGTAATTCTCGTTCTTTAGATGTTATGTATGTAAATGTTATTATTTTTATTTGATTAACCAAACATTTTATAAATTTCTAAATTGTTAACAAAAAATGGAATACAAATTAATCTTTTGTATGCATTCAATACTATACATTCTAATTTTGTTCTCTTAAATCTAATATTAAATGGAAAATTAATATGTTATGTTAGACTTCATAAGAGAATCTGATAAATTATGTTATAGTTGGAACATAGAATATTTATAAGCTTTGTTGCCCAACAAAAACAGAATATTTAAAAGAAATAATAATATTTTATAAGCTTTAGTACTTTTATATACATCGAAGACCCACCAAACTACGTATATATATTTTTAAATGTATGAAAAATTAAAATGTAACAACACACACTATATGCGTTTTTGTTCCATTGTAGGGAACGTAATTAAGAGCTTAATCATCTTTTAAACTGTTTTAGTTAAAAACTAATTTAAAGTTTATTAAGATCACTCTCCTTCACAAATAACCCATGGAATCCGTACGGAACCCTTCTCGGTAACCTTACGGCGGCGACGATTTCAAGGTCCGGCGATTTCGCATCCATCACCAGAAACTTCGATTCTCCGTTCACCTCATCATGAACATACGTCACAACGTAACCGTCATCTTCCTCAGCCTCCGGATTCTCAGGATCTCTAGCAACGAAAAACGGTTCTCCGCCGTAACAACCTTCACCGTACATTCTCCTCGCCACCGTACAATCATCCCGATCTCCTCTCGTCACGTCGAGCTTCACAACGCCGGAGATTTTCGGCATCGGATCTCCGATCGCCGCGTAAACATACCTGCTCCGTTTCCCGATATACCCTGGATTAATCACCGCGAAATCGAGATTCCTCGCCGAGATCGGATGACGTGTCACAATTCCGGTGACTAGGTCGATCTTCACCTTCTCCACTAAAGCGTGAACGAGATCCATCCTCTCTAAAGTATGTTCGATCGACATAATATTTGGAGCGATCAAAACGACGGCGTTTCCGTCGTCTTCATCCCAAGCGTTAATGGCGTGTATGATGTTAAACCCAGGAACTTCGAACCATTTCATCTCCGATTCGTCATCGGCGTAACGCGAAATCACACCGAGTCTCGGAGTTTTACCGTTATCGGTACCGACCGGGGATCCACCTTCGAGAACCGATTCCATCCTCATTCCGATCTGTATCTCTGCGAAAACCGCGTGACGTTTCGTGATCGCGAAATCGTGGAGGAAACTCGGTGACGTCATCGAGAAAATCGGTACGTCTTTTTGCTTTTTTCCGGCGGAATCGAATCGGAAAAACGTTAGATACGGTGGAACTGGACCGTACCGGAAAGCGAAAGTTTCGCCGGTTTCTGGATCGGTTTTCGGATGAGCAGTCATGCTCATCGACAATTTCCCTTCGAAATCGAATCTTCCGATCGTCTGAATATCTCCGTCGTCGGTTAATTTCACGGCGTAAGGCAAATCGGATTCACCTAAAGCAAAGAGACGATTACAGAAGAAAGCTAAACTTGTGTTCGCTAATCCAATGCCGTTGATTGGATTATACTGTCCAGCTAAAACCCTAACCGCCGTTAAACCACCACGAGCCACCATCGCAGGTATACCGTTAAATCCGGAAAACACATTAGGTATCACCGGAGCTCCGATTTGATTCTCGACGTTGTACTTGTACGTTTTAACGTATCTGCTACATAGAGTAGCTTTACCTTGTCGGATTCGAATCGCGTGAAGCATACCGTCACCGTCGAATAGATGGTAAGGACCACGAGGAAGAAACTGTGGGTTTGGTCCGTTACGGATATAAGCACCGTCGAGACACGGTGGTAAAACGCCGTGGATGATTTCACAGTTTGTCGGAGGAAGCTCGGAGATGAGAGGAGCGAAGTTATCGGAAAGGACGTGTTTTGGATCGACTGAAGGACGTGACGGTGGATCGATAAACGTGTTGATTACTTCTTCTACGGTGGTGAATAAAGCCGTCGCGAGATTCATTTCTGGTCGGAGTTTGGCCGGAGATGATGAAAGTGTGGTGGTTTGATTGTTGTGTTTTGTTGGTTTGGTTGGAGGAGGAGGACGACGACGGTTATTGTTAGCCGGTGGAGAAAGGTCTTCGACGACGGCGGAGTTGATACGGAGGAGAAGATGAGAGGGTGATCGGCGGCGAATAAGAGAGTGACGGAGAGGGAATGTGG